GTCATGGACAGACACTGGTCACAAGACACTCTTACCCTTGGACGTGCGGGACATTGTGGCTTTCCCATGTGTCACGATAGCCCTTACCATTGCTGCATTCGGTGGCATAGGCGGGGGCGGCGTTCTGCTGCCCATTTACATCCTTGTCCTTCACTTCCACATGAAAGAGGCCGTGGCATTAGCTAATGCGACCATTCTTGGCGGTGCCATCGCAAATGTTTGGTTTGCCAGTCAAACACGGCACCCTTACGCGGATCGGCCTCTAATTGCTTGGGATTTGATATTGCTCTTTGAACCTCTAGTCATCTTTGGTTCCGTGTTCGGCTCTTTCGCCAATAAATTATTGCCTGATGTGATTCTTGAGGTAATTTTAGTGGTGCTCTATAGCTTTCTCTCCTATCAAACAGTATCACGCTCCATAAATGTAGCTCGAGAGTATGGCGGATGGCTGTCTGTCTTGAGAAATGTACCTCAAACTGGGGATGGGACGCAAGAAAGTGGTTCCTCTGCTGCATCTGGGCATATAAAACCACCCATCGGTTCTCTAAGGTACACATCCAACATACGCAATCCCGATATCTCAAGTATTGACGGCATAAGTTTAAATATTAGTGAAGGCTTGCCTTTAGTGAGATGCTTTTCTGCTGAGAGTAAGGCCTCGTGGCATTCAGCTAGGAGCTATTCAGGAACCGGTGACAGCCTTTCGAACGCATCCGATCTCAGCCCGGCACCAGTCGTGAATGTGAGCCGGGACGATGCGGTTGTAAAACTCAAGAGGAAAGAGAAGTCCGTACCTTGGTGGAAGCCAATGGCCATGACTCTGTGTTTCACCGGCATGGCAGCCTTGCGGATCGGTCAAAAGATTGTCCGCTGCGGTTCAGTCCTCTACTGGATTTTGACGTTGAGTCTCCTCCCTTGGCTCCTCCCCTTCTTCCTCCTCGCGCGTCGGCATGTCATCCGCGATTTTCAAAAGAAGGCACGCCTCGGATTTACATTCCCGCCCGGCGACGTCAAATGGACACACCGCAACACCGTCCGCTGGCCGCTTATCGGTTCTCTTGCTGGTGTGATGAGTGGTATGCTGGGTTCGAGTGGTGGCACCATCAAGGCTCCTCTTTTGCTCGAGCTGGGGACCCCTCCAACTGTGGTGTCTGGCACTGTCGCGCAGATGGTGATGTTCACCTCCGCCTCCTCCAGCCTGGCTCTCTCCTTGTTTGGCTCTATGCCCGTGCACTACGGCCTCGCTTTGTTCGGCTTTGGAGGGACTGTCACTTTTGCGACGAATTGGGCAGCGACCAGGACATTGGGGGGAAAGCGGAGGCAGGTCTTGTCCATGCTAAGCATCGCTGCGATCATCACGTTGAGCACTTTAACAATGGGTCTACAGGCAAGCGTACGTTTGGTAGAAAATCCGGAGGCGGCTAGGGCATTCGGGCGATTGTGTGAGTGAGGATGGAGGAAAGGGCCAGGGAGATGCGAAGGAAAAAGGTTTTTGACTAGACCATGCGGAAGCTCAAGCACATACGAAAGCCAAAATGTTAGGGTAACGGAGGCTCCATGACGTCGTCCGTCACTGGTCGATTTTTCCCTCTCCCATTCTTTTCTTCTCTTAATTTTACTGACAAAGTAATGTATGTACTCCTCAGGCAGCTGCTAATTTCTCAATAACACTAGGTACGAACCGTCGATGGCTAAGGTAAAAGAAATTTTGTTGGAGGCGACGCACCCACACGGGGAAGAGGGAAACATACCCACCATCTACACGGACACAAACAGACACCCACATCTACAGATATTCGTATTCGGACACGGGACACTACCACATTTCTTTCACCACAGTCGTCCCCGCCCTCCCTCCATCCTTACGCTCTCTTCTAACCTCAGTCCAATTTTTGATCGGCTCCTCCGCACATTCACACACTTGTACAAGCGCTGTCCATCCGAGTAGTCTCCCTATGTTCCCTAAATGGGTATACCTTCACGTCCCTGACACCAGGCGGGGTGCTGGTTTATAGGGGGGAATGGGTGCACCCTAACGAGAGAGCATCGAAGGCCAAGCACATATCTGGGCGTATTCTAGACATGCAACGAGACCCACACTGCACTGTTGCACTTGAAGCCGCTTCCAAACGCGACTTGTAGGATCCGTTGGCCCCGACGCAAATCCATCTTCTCGCAAATGTATTCCAATTCATACCATATGGACGACGAGGAGGTGTTTCCGTAATCGTACAGGGTCATCCTGGAAGGCTCCAAATGCTCCGGGAGGAGCTGCAAATTCTTCTCGATGCCGTCCAAGACGCCCCGGCCCCCCGCGTGCAAGCAGTAGAAATCGACGCATCTCGAGAAATTCGGAGTGTAGACTTTGACCTCGGGCACGGCGCGTTGCAACCGCGACCACCCCCGGGCTTTACAGGCGCGTCGCAGCGCATGGGCCGCTTTCCGGGCCACCAGGGTCACCATCGCTTTGCCCATCTCGCCCAAAGACAGGACCTTGGGCCCTATGGCCGTCAGATTCTTCTCCATCAATCGACCCGCCACCTTAACGATTTCTTTCGACAAACGCACGCCCTTCTCCCCTTCCTCGTCCTGGGTCGAGTAGACGGCGTCGTAGGAATGCTTGTCCGTGCCCTGCACCATAGAAAACGAGGATTAGTACTCAATCACGCATCCCGCCCTTCTTCTCGCCCTCCTTCCCGCCCTCCTTTCCGCCCTCCCTCCCTACCTGCGTCCGGACGACGTGCAAGAGTTTGAACTTGGCCCGGAGGCCATCTTGGACCCGGTTCGAGAGCAAGACAGCCGCACCCCCGCATCGAAACAAGGTGTTTTGCAGGAGGAATGCCCGGTTGTTTCCATGGTAAAAGGCCTGCGTGAGGTTCTCGGTGCTGATGACGAGAGCCCGAGAGCGCGGCCGGGACTCGAGGAGGCGTTTGGCCAGATCGATGGAGACAAGACCTGCCGAACACCCCATGCCCGACAAATTGAAGGAGAGGATGTCCTGGCGCATTTGAAAGTGGTGGGCGACCATGGCGCAGAGGGAAGGGGTGGGGGAGAAGAGGGAGCAGTTGATGATTAGGATGTCGAGGTCCCGAGGGCGTACCCCCGCCTTGGCCAACACATCTTCCACCGCCCCGTAAATCACCGCCTGCGCCTCCTCCCGCGCCCCTTCCTCCGTTTGATCCGCCACCACTTCGCCATTCGGATCTTCTTCCACTCCTCCTTTTCCCTCCTTTCCCGCCTCCCCCTCTCCGTTTCCTTCCCTCCGCAACAGCTTCAAAATTCCAGGAGGCCAGGCCGTGCTGGGCCCTGTCCCAGAATTCTGCAAGATCCGCTCCATGAACTCCAACGACTTCTCGGTAAAACAGCCTTTCCTACGCATGATTTCCAAGACGTCTGCTTGAGAGACTTTCCATGAGGGCGGGGGCTTGTACGTCGCGAAGTCGACCAGGTAGATGGGCCGATGCCGGTGCGTCGCCCACCACAGGCCAAGGATGAAAAGCGGTGTGACTTTCATGAGGAGCGATAGGCCGACAGTCTTGACCGATTCCACCATGTGCACGAATTCCTAAAAGGGGGCAGAGGGGGGGAATGGAAGGGAGGGGTCAACGGGGAGCAGGACCGGTGGAGGGGGGTGAAAGCCTGGCATGGGAAGCCTCCCTCTTCCCTGCCTTCGACACGCTTGACCAAGGTTTTTTTCGCGCGATAGTCATATCCATACCTTGATCTCGCGCCCATGGTCTGACACGTCGATGAATACCTGGGCGACCAGGATGGCAATGAGCGCGTAGAGGATGGCAGGGAAGTAGACAGAGATCATGTGCCACCAGTTCACCAATTTCAGGAATCGGGAAGGTCGGGCACGGTACGAGGATGCTGACAAGTGGTCTTCGTAGGAGAGACCACCCGCGGAGCCTGCCAAGGAAGAGGAGGAGACAGCGTGTCGTAACCCGGTGGGGGTGGGAGGGGGGGAGGACGAGGTGGACGAGGCGAGGGAGGAGGAGGAGGCATGAATGTGGCGTCTATTTAGTTCACCCATGCTTAGACTGGAGATTCTACAGCGATGGATTCGTAAAACACGAAGGGTTTGAAGAGGGGTTGGCCCGGCTGGTGGAGATCGGGGGGCGCACGGGGGAGGACAAGCGATTGTAGATCAGGCAAGCAGGTGCCAAATTAGTAATACCTGGAAAGCGACTTAAAGGATGGTCTTATCTGTGTTTGGACGTACGTATACTGCAGAGAATGAGGTCAAAGATCTTGTCCTTCTTGAAAAAAGAGGCATGAAAAGAAGCGCCACAGCAAGCACATGATAAGTACCGCGTCGTCCCCTCCCGTGATGACGAGCAAGAAAAAGAGATCGACAGGACGCAGCTATGACCCAAAAAAAACATGTGCCGCACCCATCGCCCTTCCCATCTCAATGCTAATATTCAGGCAAGACAAAGACATGCGTCATGTCTTCGGTCAGGTTCGGGGAAAAGTGTGGTTTGTTGACTTTTTATGTGGATGGCCAAGTGGGTTGCAGTGCCCCGTTCAGATCTCCAGTGCGTGGCTATCTCATGCCGTGACAGGACGCTCGCCTGGACGACGCTATGAGCGACACATACACCAGTATGTCACCCTGTTTGGGATTTTTCTCCGTGTTGTGTGAGATTTTTGTTTGGCTCGGTGGTTGGAATGTTGTAGAAATGTTGTGAAATCGTCGAAGCGTGCAAAATATAAGGTAGCGAGTGACGGTATGGCTATCACGTGACTCTAGCACGGTTGTATTTATTTTTTCCATGGAAAAATCCTCGTGCATTCCGAAGTGGCAACAGAAAAAACACAAAACGGACAAACACTACCTTTCATAAACGATTTACATGTAGAAAAGAATCTTCACGCATTTCGAAGTGGCAATAGAAAGGAGAGGTATTTCACAAATCATGTTTTTGTAGAGAAAAGAACCTTCATGCATTTCGACGGGGCAGAAGGGAAAACCAAGCAAGGACAAGAAGCGTATTCCATACATTATGTTTGTCTTGGTAAAACCAATCAATTCTTTGACCTTGTGTGTTAGAAAAACTTTGTTGCGGTTCCCACACGTCCCGATCTCCTGCACTCTGTGATCAATTTACGCCGTCTTTTCATACACGTATCCGAACACTAGCTGCAAATCCCCCCTGGGGTCCTCAATTGTCTTCAGCAACTTATATTGTCGTGCGTTCAGACGTCGATCCAAACTGATGATGCGAGCACCTACTGGCGCTGTGGCCAAAACGTCGTCGATGTCCCTCGAATATTTAGTGGCATAAATGAACACGACCTCCGCATCCGACAAGTCGACGTCTACGAAATCTTTGTTGACAAATTGAGTTGGGGATCCCCTCAATCGCTTGAACTTCCCTTCGTATTTGATCGCCTCTTTATGTAAACCTCCAAGGTATTCTACTCCGATGGCTTTCTTCCACCGTGCGAGCTTGGCGGCTCCCAGGACTGCCCGTCCCACGCCCGATCCTAGGTCATAGAATACCCCGCTTCCAGATGGATTCGCTGCTCCGAGCAAGACTGCCAAGAAGGCTAAATCGATTTCTGCGTAGTAAAGCGTCTTGTCGCGCACCTCGCGGTCATCCCTCCCCTGTTGGTACGATTCCTTCGCCTTCTCGGCAAGCTGCTTTCTCCTGACAAACCCCACCGTGCCAGCCTCAGTTAGAGCCAAATCCTCCTCCTTAGGATCATACAAAGCTTCCACTGCATCCACTGCCGCTTGCTCGTCTTCAGAAAGGGTGAAGGCAAAGTTTTTGTTCTTCAAGTTCTTGGTCAGCAACGCAAAGATGCCCGCAAGACCAGCAAAGACACCAATGGAGCTGACACCGATGATCTCAGCGTTCAGAGTCGGCTTTGTGTCGTCTGTGTACGCCAAAAGTGTATTTCCGGTGTGCTGCAAGATGTCCAGTGTCGAGGTCACATCCAACCCCGTAACCAAGGAGTGCGCATGACGAGTCCGAGAGAGGGATGACGTAGACAGGAGCTTTTGGGAAGGTAGAGGGCTCAAAAAAGCTCCACTCTGGCCGATGAACAAGCCAAGCATTAAAAATGCAACATTGCAGCAGAGATTTCTCATGATTCGTCGGGTCTACTCCTGCTTGGGGAGATGGAGTGAAAGCGATTATTGGGTGGACGGATGCGCGGTGGGACGGTGATGACGGGGTAGGACATGATGGCGAGACCACTGTCATGGCACGAATGTCTTCCATTTGCGACCTGTACGACAAGAGGTACACGCACGTCGCTCACGACGAGCAGATGACGTGCATAACCAAACACGCCCAGGTTTGCATGCAGATTCCAATTGAGATTGCAAATATGTGACGCAGGAGGAAGTCGTATGGCGGTCGCTGAAATGTGTGTTGCAGTAGAATAAAAACGGTCTCCCAGCGCCTGCACTGAGTGTTTCTCCTTGGCAAGATCAGGGCCTATCCCTCGCACAGTTCAGCAGCATATGTGATTTATAAGCAGGTGAAATATTTGAGGAATTCTCGTCCGTCTAAATGCCCTTAAATGTGAAGTGGTCTATTTGTAGAGGAGCCTTGGATTGTAGCCGGCCATCCCCACCTCGACAACACGCCATCGCCCCCGACGAAGAACTACGACAATTGCACATAACAGAAGTATTAAATATTACATCCTTTGTCATTTGTTCCGTCTTTGTATCCAAATTTTGTGTTATGCTACAAAACCAGAAGAAGTTCAGGATAGCACAAGCTTTGCGCTGCGTAGGGCAGGAATGCCTCTGCCCCGATACGTCCTTCCCACTGTTCTCCTGTTATTCCTAGTCCTGTCGTCTTTCCGTCCCTCCCGCCCTCATTCTTTTCTCCATTTAACTCGACTTCAACCCCCACCTCTCCGAAAGACACGACCCTCTCGGCGCTCAAAGTCTTTTTCACTTCTCTCTCCCTCGCTTCGCCCACTGCCGGAACCAGGGCAGTATAGCAATGTTGTGCCTCCATTCTCTTCCTCAACTTCACGCCTCGATCTTCCATGATCCCTTTCAGCCGCTCTAGCAGCTGCCCAGCCACGGGGATCAGGACCACCTCGACTGGCTTTACCCCTAGATGCCGAATGCCTACGATGGTCCCATACAGCGTAGCCAAGGCTCCCTTGTCAGGAGGTTCGACGCTCAAAAATTCGTCCACCCGCTCTGCAAACGTCTTGCAGATTACCGAAGCCAATGGACGGTAAACACCCGAGTACTTCCTCACGAGCATGGCCAGGGTCTGGGCGGCGAAAGACCGCAAGGCATAGTGGTCGCCCGCCCCGTCTCCCCCCGTCTGTCCCCACCCGTTGCCCGCCTTCCAGTCTGCCCCCCTCCCTCGCTTCGTCTCTTTGGACGCAGCCAGGCCCGCGACGCCTTCGCCATGGGAACCCAGCCGGTTGTTGGCGATCACGGTCATCACGCCTGGAAGCATTTGGTGCAAATACAGGTCTAGGTGCATGTGCGGGTTCACCACCATGCAGCGAAACACGCGCATGACAGCCCAGAGCGGATCGAGCGAGCCCCGGCCCCCCGCCCCGACCGCGGCCGTGACCGTGTTGTGGATGTGGAGGGAGAGGTAGGGGACAAGCTCGTGCAGCCCCGTTTCCGTGCCCACACCCACGTAGTAGGCCCGACGCTCCGCTTCGGGCGTGGCGGGGGACATGAGGCTTTGTACGAGCTTCTTGTAGTATAGCCAGAGCTCCTGGGAGAGAGGGTGCGAGGCCTCTGGGACCACTAAGGCGTTACCTTCCACCTGAAGGGGGGCGGGGGGGCATTGAGGGGGGGAGGAGACGGGTTGGACGGGGTGCGAGGCTGCACACCATCCACAGCGAGCCAGTGGAGAAGAAGCCCGACTTCGCGGGGAACCTAAGGTGGGAAGTGAGGAGAGAGGAATGAGTCGAAACTGGAAGGCCAAGAAGGCGAGGTGTGACCGAGAGAGGGCTTGGGAAAGACGACGCGCGACACTGACAAGTTAAGCAGATACCACCACATGGACTACACGGAACTGCCAATGGGATCTCAAAGCACCTTCCATCGGCTACGGACTCCCATCCTTCCACCCATTCCCTCCCATCCTGCCCACAACCTTGGGCAGCTCCGTCTGCATGGCTCGCACAAGCGTCTCTTTTCTTTCTCCCAGGCCCGATAGGACCACCGTGGCCTGCTCTCCGTCCGTTGTCGTCACTTCCTGTGTTGCCGCCGCCCCGGCGCCGTAGCCGTACAGAGGCTGTTGCCCACGGAGGCGCATGACGAAATTCAGGTCATCGACCGTCAAGGAATGGCGTTTGCTTTGATTTTGCAGTTTGATCGCGTCCTCCAATATCTCGCGGAGGTGATATTCGACTGTGGTGGCGACAAAAGATGCGGCCTCTTGATCGATCTGATGCGAGGGAGGAACGGGAAAAGGAAGGTGAATAAGACCGTGGGGGGGGGCTGAGGGGGAGAGAGGAGGTTCGATGACAACATTGAAATCCAACATTAAGAGCGGTTGCGTAAGCATGTACCGATCTTTGCCAGACCGAAACATATGCTTACCTCCGGGAGTTCCAATTTTTTTGCCGCAGCTTGTATAGCCTGGGGAGAGATGAGTCCTGTTGGCCCGAGCACGGGGACCTTACTGACCGGGAGGGTCCGCTTACTCTTCTTAGCCGGACCCGTCGTAGCCATAAATGTACGATTAGCGTTGCTGCTGGTGATGATCAGGGTGCTTTGGACGCTTCCGTCCTTCGCGCGCACGCACCCTAGAGCGCACAGGAATGTAGCACGTAGATCAAAGTAGAGAAGAGGAGGAGAGTAGTCATGAGAAGCCGATGAAGTCCTGCTCATCCTTGCCCGTGCACCACGATAGAACATGTCACGCGTCGGCACTACCACAGTATTTTCAAATACGACACCTGGCATATATACCGGTCGACGAGGCTCTTTCAGGGGATGACTGTGGGGTTCTTTCAGGGGATGACAGTGGCCGTGAGAGAGGAAAAGGCTGAAGCCCGTCGCCCCAGTTGCTTCATATCGCCTGATGATACGCAAGGAGTACCGACCTTTATTTTCTGGACTGTCGGCACACACACACACACACACACACACACACATACGAAGTAAATTTATCCCTGAGACCAACAATATTGTTCCCATTATCCTTTACTTGCTGACTTCATCCTCTCCTTCGCATGGTCACAGGAGGAGCGGCGGAGTCACGAACGAGGAGGCCTTCCTCATTACACTCCATTTGCTTCCTGTCTCCCCGACCTTGTCGCATGCCACGTAGTCGCAGCCGAAGCCGTAGCCGTAGCTTACATCGACAGCGGAAGAGGAGCGGGAGTCGGAGCAGATATGGCACTTCTTCCCCATTATCCTCGTCACGATACCACAGTCCCCATCGGGGGGGGGACCAGAAAGGTCAAAGCCGCAGGAGGAGACGAAGCCAAGAGAGTGAGGAAGGGGACAGAGATCGTAGAAGGAGGCATCGAGGTTTAGAAAGGGAAGAATCCCCTGCGCCAGGAGGGGGGAACCAGGCTCAGGGGCAAAGGTCACGGTGGGAAAAGGGCCGAGGAAGGCAGGAGGGCCTCTCAGGCGGGGAGAACGGAGGGAACGGGCGCTACGAAGAGGAGAGGAGGGATATCAGCCTGCAGGAGCGTGAAAGGGACGGTCGTGGCGCACGACTCAGGAAAAGCACCGAGGCAAGAGCCCAGGCAGGCGCAGGGAGAGAGCGCGAGGCTTTAGTCCCGGGCGGAGAGCCGTCCCGTGGGCAAGAAGAACGCTAGTAAGTGCAGGGCCGGAGAGGGGGGGTATAGGGGGGTATTGTGGCACTAACTGGAGTGGAGGGGGGAAAGTAAAAGGCGGAGGCGGGAAGCTACCGTGCGTGCAGCAGAGGCCTAGGTCCCCGTGGACATCGGTCTTGTCGTTATCTTTTCCCCTTAATAACGCTTTTCCATCGGTGCCAACCCTATCCTTGACCCTATTCCCTAACCCCAATTCTTTTTCCCGCCAGTGAATGGGGCAAGCCCGCCATCTCCCCGTTGAACGGCGATGCGTCAAGCAGAGGGGAGGACGGAGGAAAGGGGGAGGAGAAAGCACCGACCTTGGTGGCCAAACCCAATTTCGGCCTGACTGGCGCGCTGGCACAAGATGCTCAGACGGGGAACGTGTACAAGGGCGTGGTGTTGAAGTGGAGCGAGCCGGACGACGCCCGCCTCCCCTCGCGGGGCTGGCGGTTGTACGTGTTCAAACAGGGGGAGTTGAAGGACACCCTTCACTTGCACCGTCAGAGCGCCTACCTGGTGGGGCGGCACGGTGTGGCCGATCTGAAGGTGGAACATCCTTCCTGTTCCAAGCAGCACGCCGTCCTCCAGTTCCGCCAAAAGCATGAGGGGGCCGAGGTGAAACCCTACCTGATGGATCTGGAGTCCGTGAACAAGACCAGGCTGAATGGGGAGGAGGTTCCCCCCGCCCGGTACGTGGAACTGCGGGCGCAGGACACGATCCAATTCGGCCTTTCCTCGCGGGAATACGTGCTTATGCACGAGAGCCTGGTCGGGTCGAGCTAATGGACAGACGCAGAGGAGGTTGGGGAGGAACGAGGGGAGGGTCTGGGGGGGGGAACGGTCGCCCTGAACCGGGTGGACACGAAAGGGAAAAGAAAGAAACGGTTGAGCTTACGGTTCGTGCGTTCTCTTTCCAGATGCGTGCACCCGGAGGCGGGCACGACAGATGGTGCTTTTACTCTCAAGTATGAACCGGGAGGGTCTCTACCTCCTCGTCCGCACGCAGGCCGGTCGAGCCGTCGGCTTACGCACATCCTTCCCTGCAGGGGATACCTTCTGCCCCCCTTCCCGTACAGCTTTTCTCCCCAGGGCGCCACTTTTTGTTCCCACCTTGTCCCCGTTCCTCGACGTTGCCCTCTCCTCGCTTCTCATGCCGGCCTCACGTCTTCTTCCCTCCCCTCCACCTCCCCCCCAACCTCACTCCTTCCCCCTATCCCAATTTGTCCGGGTATCCTTCTCGTTTTCCACCGCCCGCAGGCTCGGTCCAGTCGCCGCGACGGCGGTGGTCCCGCCATCCACCGGGCGGAGATCCCAGCTCTCAAACGCCTGCCATTGTGCCACAGAATCC